TTTACCCTGTTCACCATGAAGAGATTATTAAGAATCCATGGCTAATTTATTCTGGATCTTTTTATTGAAACAATCATGCAAGTGATTTTAGGGATAAAAAGAAGAAAGAATTAGTAGTAAACTAAGTGCATCATTTGTACTTTAGTATAATTTTTACTTCAGCAGGTCTCAGTTTCATGCCAAACTGCTGTAGACCGCTATGGCAATTTGGGATGGAATGCTCTGTTTCTTTTTGACCGTTTCCTAATTTGAAAAATAAGCATTTGCCTCACGTAGTTGTATGTTTGGTTAAATTAGTTGTGACAGGCTAATCCAGAGAAACCCTATTGACTCTTCTCTACACCTAATAAATTTGGTTTTGTAACATTGGAGTGCTGTATTGGGCTTCTTAAAGGACTTTTTAGACTCTTTAAACTGCTTGGACAGAAGGTTTTTTTCATTGTTCATAGAGGACAGAAAAAAGGAAATATGTTTTATTGTATTTATTGTATTCCTCTCTCTTTTTGCTAAATCTCTGAATCTCTATTGATTCTGCATTCAATAGAGATTAGTTTCATTCATTCCCTGCTTGATCTGTCCTCCCACTATTGAGGGGGACACAGTCAACAAAGTGCCAGAAGCTGTTACTACAACTGGTATCAATAACCAAGTGCCTCTTACACCAAAGTTTAATTTGGGCTTATAGGCCAAGTTGCATACCATGTATCTTACAGACATAAGGGGGAGATCTAGCAGCATTTCACGGTCAGAAAATAACTGCTTCTCAAGGGTCTTATTCCACAGCTAAAAGTATGGGATCAGAGGATAGATTTGGATGACAGCTATGGTTCAGCACCTTCACTTTACATCAGCCACAACTGTGCTGCTATTATGGAGGACAACTGTAACTAGTTACAGCTCTGGGAAGAGCATATGGATTAATAAGTTTTCCGTATGATTAGTAGAGAAATAGCTCTTCCCCTAAACTGCTACAAGGCGTATTGAAATATCTTATTTTGGCTGGGAATTTGGGATTGTTGTTATGCTCTCTGTTAGACTACCTTAACAGTTAATTTTGAAACTTGAATGTGACATGCTTCAAGTGTTTGTGTGTGTGTGATATGTTTTCTTGTGTAGTATGTACTGTATACTTATCTGTGGGGTTTCCAGCTGGCTGCATTTAAATATTATTTTAAATAATGGAGATAATTAAGTGACAGATGCAGGGCCACCAAGCGTTACACATTTGGCAGCACTGTCCCGTGATCTAGCTGAAATCCCAGCAGTAGTCTACATAGTTGCATCAGATAAGTTCTGTAGCCAGACAATCACTTGTGCAAAAATCAATTGAAGATTAAAATAAAAGTATGTGCTATCTTATCATAGTGTAAGTGACAAGTTACGTTTTGAGGTTTGTGTTTCTGTCAACATTTAACAATCAGAGTGAGAAATGCTTGTTGAAGCAAGCTTTTCAGTTTTGAGAGGTTTGAAAATACCAAGATTGGTGCAGTTGACTTGGTTAAATGTCTACGTGGAGTTTTAATGAAGCATGGCAATGATGACACATAGGTGTTGGGAATTGGCTACGAGAGCGTGGACGTGAGTATGGTTCTACTGACTTTGGTTCAGGCCTGCAACTGAGCAAGCAGGGGCTTCTGGGAGATTAGGCCTCAGGAGAGAAGTGCTGACTACGTGCTGGTAAGGCAAGGACACTCTGTCCTTGGC